ATTACACCATCTGCTGATCTTAATGTCAGAATCTTAACACAGAACTCGGAGACATTGAACCTGTCCCCAAAGACTTGATGTACCAAAGGAAATGTACCAGAAGTGAAAGGAAGCTTTTGATAGGTGATTGAACTTCTGGAGAATTTAAAAGGCAGAATCTATGGCATTTGGAAAACTTAGATATTAAATGATAGTAGAAAATAAGGACATTTACATAAATTCAGGTAATTGTCCTTTTCAGGGTAATGTCATTTATATTCACCTTTTATTTTAGATGAATATTATAGGAAATTGTCTTGATTGATTTCAGTCATACTGTAGTAACCTAGTAGCTGTTCCTCTTGAGGCTCAGCATGGTACCCACAATATGGCACATGGACAATTTGAGAGAATCACAGAAGCAAGTTACTTTGTCTTCCCCTGAAATATGTCATAAAGAAATTCTCTGACCTGTGTCACCTGAAAGCAAGCCGTAAGACCTCATTCCAGGGCAGACCCCTTAACTTAGTGGTTAAGGGAGTCAGATCCCACATAGCCAGCTGCGAATTGAATTCCTATCCTGGCAGCCTGGAAAATACACTGGGCCCCAAATCCCTAGAGGATGGAAAAATGAGAGAGAAGAGATTGCTGTGTGACCACACCCCACTGGGAGTGCTTTCTCCCTTCCTCTCTCAGTCTGTCCCTCTGGTGAGCACATGTGTCCTTGGCCAAAAAAAAAGAAGAAGAAAAAGATTCTCATTTCAGACAGGTTCAGGTCCCTGGAGGACAAGAGGAGTCTGAACACACAGGGCTGGCTAGGTTCCCCCCAGTTTATTGCCATTAGGCTACACCACCTCTTATCCAGTCATGTCCATTGTTCATCAGACCGCAGCATAAAAATGCAGTTTCCCTGGGTCTTCACTCTGAAGGCTCTTGTTGTATGAAACTTTGGTTAAATACATTTGTAACACTTTTCTCTTGTTAATCTTTTTTTTTTTTTTCTGTACCTCGAAAGTATACAATTTAAAGAAATGACAGCTGAAATACTCTGCTTTCTCAAAGATTTACTCTTTTTTTTAAAAAAATTATTTAATTTCATTTATTGTATTATTTTTAATTTTGCCAGAGAGAGAGGGAGAGGGAAAATAAGAAAACAAGCTGCCAGGTCCAGGACTTGAACCACGTTTGGCCATATGGGAGTCCAGTGCCACCTGTCAGCCCAAGATTTATTCTTAAGTATTTGAATGCAGCTGTATGTTTGTTCTACATGCTGTCACAGAAAGTAAAGTTTTATGGGGCAGATAATTTAGAGATTATATTTGGTCAGTATTTGAGATAGACTTGAGCCTTTGGTCTGTGATACAATATTAGGTCATCTGGGACCTAATATTTTTTGCACAGAAAAATACATCATCTCTTTCTTGACAATCCAGTATTTAAAGCAGAAAAGGGACACTATTTCTTACCTGTGCTCCTAGGATACTTGTCCAGAAATACTTCCCCACCATGTGTGTGGTTCTCTAGTAGGAACGTGATGGCTTCTGGCAGTTCCTTTTGAGTGTGTAGGGCTTATCATTTAATCAGGCCTGAGTTGTTGAGTCTGGAAGACTGGTTTGCATAACTTCTGTTTGGGTCTTGTTTATGGCAGGTCAGTGTTCACCCTTTTACAGGAAAAAAATGACAGTAAGAAAAGCTATGAGATTCAGGGAGCGCTTGCTTGCTGCCCTCACAGGTCTGTTTCATGGGGGCATTTCCTTCGAAGATTTACCAACTATCTTCCCTTTGGCCCTTAAACTCTGGCCAGAAACTCAGTATTCTCCATGTCTGAAATACATGGAGCTTGGCAAAGTGACTCCGTTTAACAAAGTTCATGAGAGTGTTTGAAGCTGTAACACCAGCTTATTAATTTAGTCTCAGAATCCCATCTGTCAACAAGCCAGACAGTTGTGTTGATAGGACCAGCACACACTCTCCCCACTGTTGGCAGGCTAAGGAAGGAGCCAGATTACGGGCACGTCTCAGTGTTCTGCTGAATTACAAAATTAGAACAAAGAAAAGTAGTGGTATCATGCCAATGCTTAATAGCACCCTGCTCTGATAGCCTGTACATCCATTTCCTGAATTGGATGGGGGGGCATTTTGTTATGACATGTATTCTGTCAGGCGCACCAGATAATCTCTAGAATTACTGCCAGTGTCGGCCCCTCTAGTCTATTATTCTGGGGCTGCCTCTGACCATCCTCTTTCAGATGGGCACAGTCTCTAGGTTCGTTGATGAATATCAGGTTCTATTGGGTTGTTGGAAAAGTCATGATGCACTTTTAAAAAAAACTTTATTTATTTGTTTACTTATATTTTAATTTGACCAGAAAAGGACAGAGTGAGAAAGCAAGAGCAAAAGGGAGAAAGCAAGCCACCAGGTCCAGGACTCAAACCATGGTTGGCCATGTGAGAGTTCAGCGCCCTTAACTACCACACTACCTGCTGGCCCGAATGATGCATTTTTGCATAGAAAAAATAATTTCAGCAGCCCAATTGTTATGATTTTTAGGCTACGGATGATTGGGACTTCCAGGCAATTTTGAATAGCTTCAGTCTGATCTGTGTTATTAGTAATTATAGAATTTGGGACCAGCAGTTGGCGTAATGGCTATTGTTGCTGGATTCCCATGTAGTTGACTGCAGTTCAAGTCCCAGACTCGGTGGCTTAAACTCACGCTGGGCATGTGTGCATGAGAGACAGAAAGTGAGAAATCACCTCCCAGGGGGATGGCCATGCTGCAATCCTTTCTCCTCCATTCTCCTCTTGGGATCTTGGGCACGCATGCACACTTGCCCGGCATGAGTTTTAAGCCACCGGGTCCAGGACTCAAACCGCAGTTGACTACATGGGAGTCCAGCGACATAGCCATTTTGCCAACTGCTGGTCCCTCGGGAGTTGCTTACTTCTGCACTGAGCTATCATCAGTTAAAGTTTCTCTAGGTCACAGTTTGAATAGCTTTTTAATTTTAATTTATTTTTTATTTTCAATAAATAGCTGGAAGTGAGGCCAGCAGGTGATGTAGTGGTTAAGGCACTGGATGACTTCCACGTAGCCAGTCGTGGTTCGAGTCCCAGACCTGAGGACCTGAAAATCATGCTGGGTACATGTGCATGTGTAGGAGATTAGAGGGGAAGGGATTGCAGTTTGGTGTATCAAAAAAGAAAATGCCTGCCTTCATCACACATCTGTTTATTTGTTTAGTTTTGCTTTTCCTATTTTCACACCACAGCATTTTGCATTGATTCTTTTCAGGGTAACTGTTATTAGTCTGCTGCTTCCTCCTCCTTGTGGAAGCACACGTGGACCTCTTCCAGATGACATTTCTGCCCTTTAGGTGAAACCCAAGTCTTTGCACCAGGGGTCATTCAATTCTTTTTTTTTTTTTTTAATTTTAAACAAAGAATTAGACTCTAAGTCCTGCTCCTTTTGTGTATAAAAACTTGTTTCTAAGACGATTTAACCCTAAGAACCTCCACTTTGGCTTTTCCTCAGTTCTGCCTAAGTTGTTATCCTCCTAATATCTCTCAGTTTTGCTTGCTGGTTTGGTTGTTGCCCAAAGCGTTCATTGATCAGAGCTGATCCTAGTGGAGAAGCTGGGTGGAGAGGAGGAGGGTGGGGAGGAGGAAGGCAGATCCTTACTGGGAGTCTGCAGATTTGGATTCCCACCCTGCTGTTAATTAGCTGCATGACCCCTGGGCACACCAGTCTCTCAGGGTCTCTGTTTCTTCTTCAGTGAAACAAAGGGCTTGGAAAAATAAATACAGCCTGGACCAAATGATAAGAGAGGTCAGCCCGCATACTTATGTTGTGTGATTCTGTGAATGCCAGTATGTTGGGGCTCCTTATCCTTCTCAGTGGGGGCCCACAAAACCTCTGCTTTTTCTGGGGGTTGAGAGATAATGTGGCTTCTTAAACTGAGGCCATTTGAGGCTTTCAAGTTAACCAGAGTGGTTTGGAGCCCTCCTCCCTGCAGTGGGGTTTCTGCCCCCTCCTCCCCTTGCCCTATCTGGGTCCCTTGTCCCTTCCTCTAGCCTGCCCCCCCCCCACTCTCCTTGTCTGTTCAGGAGCGAGCTGTCTCCCTTCTCCTTTGCTCTTTAGTGCATTAGCAAAGGTGTGATGGGTAACACAATCCACTAAGATTGCTTACTGTTTGGGGCTGACCAGCCATCTCAACTGAGTTGGGGGTGGGGGAGCTGAAGGAGAGAAGCTTCTGGATCAAATAATGGTCCTATTGTCTGCTTCTTGCTGTAGGGATGGATCGTGTTTCATCTTAGGCCTGGGCCATTGTGCTGTTTTTTTTTTTTTTTTTTTTTTTTTTCACAAGCTCTGTTTAAAAATACAGCTCATTAAATGATTCTGCCATAGTGCTTCCCTCCCCTGGCCCAAAGTCATAACCATGTATAGTAAAAACCCCCTGTAGTATGTGGGGTTTTACTGTTTAATCAGATCTACCGACAACAGGGTTAAAGTGTGTTCCCCCTGTATCTATTTCGCAAATGCTTGTAAGGTATGCTTTATTCCAATAGCCTTCTAAAATATTTTCCTGTGGTTACATAATTAGCAGCACCTGTAAAACATTGCCTTTAACTTGGTAGCCTACTTCTTAACCATTGTGTTTCCGATGCCTTGTGTTAGTGTTTTCTTCTTTGGATGAACTGGAGTTGGGAGTCTGTGTTACTGTGCCAAGTATCCTACAGTCCTGTACCCAGGTTTAGCTTCAGAACCTTAATTAGCCATGGAATGCTGAGAATGCACCATTGGGTGTTTTTTTAAAACTCATAACAAGATAGTGAACTTCTTGTCGCTTCATTGAAAGCTATAATACATTCCTTGTGTTTTTAGCATTTGGTTTCCCACCATAGTCTATTCTTAGAACATTATAAAACTCAGAGATATCTTTTCATTATCCTAAGCGACCTGTTTGAATGTGTTACCTCTTGTGTCAATTTGTAAGTTACATTCCAATTTACAACCTTTCCATTCTTCTCTCTTCTTTTCAGAAACAACAGAGTACTGAAAATGTTAAAGGCTGTGCTGAAGAAGAGCCGAGAGGGAGGGAAGGGAAGCAAGAAGGAAACAGGTACGTGCCCAAGAATGGTGGGAAGGGGCCAGGTGGCAGCTCGGCGGTGAGGCACCTGGACCCACACGGGAAGGAATGAGCTGAACAAACATGGCGGGCGTTGAGAGCCAGATTCTACTTGCTGGATCCAGGCTGGGTGGATTCAGAGGGCAATCTGAGTTAGAACGACCAGCATACTAGAGACTATGAGAAACTATTAATGAGCTTTCTTATGAGCATGACTTTGAGAATTGAGTTTGGGTTATAAACAGTCCTCAGAGTACTTTAAAAGTTCACAATTTTAAAAGTCATTTAGATCTGAAGGCAGTCATAGTTAAAGACATTGAAGGATAGCAGGTGTGTTCAGGAATTTGGTTTCTAGAAAGACCTTTCCCTTTCCCCCCATATGATTGCATTTTATATGTTTAACCAACTGCTGGCTGACTGGCCCTCATATTTTTGAGTATCAAATTTTACTCCTAACAGGTGTAGCCCACTTAGTGCCAAATTGCTAGTTTTCATTACGATGAGAGCCATTTATTGTGGCTTGGCTTGCATTCCTGTTTGTACAGTCTGGGTGTGTGTGTGGTCACTGTGACTCTGATAGCATTACTTTTCATATGATAACCTCTTCTAAGGTTATTTTGAACACTCACTGTTACATCTCGTTTCTCTGGCTAGAATAACTACATATTGTCTACCTGTATTGCAAAGTAAAACATTGTTAGCATTAACTGACTTCCCTGAAATGCTGTATTTCTCTCTGTAACTCATGCTAATCAGTCTCATTGGAGAAGGACTAATTTTCTGTGTTATTACATAGAATTCTTTGTGATAGTGTTGTTGTTATCTGTTCTGAGAATAAGTGGACTTGTAAACCTTTTGGTTATATGGAACCTAGACAGAATTTCTATTTATTACTAATTATCCCTTAAACCAAGTCTGTCAAATGGCAGACTCATCTTAAAAGTAGAGGCTTTGGGGCCAGGAGGTGGCTTGGTGGTTAAGGTGCTGGACTTCCAATGGCCAACTGTGGTTTGAGTCCCAGACCTGGCAGATTAGAACTCATATCAGGTGCATATGTGTGCATGTCCAAAATCACAAAAAGAATGGAGGAGAAGGGATTGTGGTATGGCCATCTCCACTGGGGGGTGATTTCTCCTCACTTTCCTTTTCACTATCTTTCCGGTGAGTGCATGTGTCCTACAGCAAAAGCCTAAAAAAAAAAAAAAAAAAAAAAAAAGGTAGAGCCTTTATTGTAAGGTTGCTCTTAAAATTCCACTATAAGCTTCTCATTAATGCCTGGGTAAACAAGCACAGAGAAAGAAAGAACCCATTTTTTAATGTTATAAACAGGAGACCACAGTTGGCTTTTAACCTTAGAAAATCAACCCCTAGTTTGCATAATTAATGAGAATTGTTACTATGGAGAAATTTCAGTTCACATAACTTCTTTCCAGGAGGACATTCATCCTCTGCTGGGACAAAGCCAAAATGTCTTTCTCATTAGTTCTCTGGAAGCTTTTTTTTTTTTTTTTTTTTTTTTTAAACAATTTGGCTCATCTGAAACCAATCCTAGAAACTTTATTGCTTCTTCAAAAGCCTTTGTAATTTTCGGCACAAAGTTAGATCCTAAGCTGTCTGTTGGGCTGGAATTGCTGACCGTTGGGTTATTTTTCTTAGAACTAGGGTCCTCAAACTAAAATTCCCTGGTCAGTATAGTCTTTAAAAACAGACCTACCATTCTCTTTGGCCAGTGCCAGACCCCTGTGAAATAACAGTATATTAATAACCCTTAGCACCCGTGCCTCGCAGACTGGCCAGACGGTGAACACAGTTTGCGTTTGAAACTTGTCCAGTTTCAGAGCATGTGATTTTGGGTTTATTTTTCTCTTTAGTCTTTAAGAGCAACTAGTAGTTTTTCAGAATATTTTCTTTTTTGTAATTCCCATGTTATAGTTTTTTTCAGTAATGCAAACCAATTTGAAAAGCAGTGGGAACATTTCTCATAAAACATCTGTATGGTATGCTCCTTTTTGCTTTTAACTAGAACCTGGTTGTATTAAGTGGGGAACAGAGCAGATGCAATTTTAAATCCTGAAGAAGTTATGTCACAAGATGATGCAAAAAATACTTGAAATTTGACCACTCATATTGAGTTCTGTGCCAACTTTTATTATATAAGTAAATCATAGCAAACTTTCTCTGTATAGTAAAGCTAACTAATTTATTGAGACTGTTCTGAAACTTGGGTAATATCTACTGAAGTATGGGAAAATTTCACTCTGCTGTTTCCAATTAAGACTAATCTTTGTTGCAAAGACAAAAGAAAATTCATTTTTATGTACTTGAATTTATAATCATAGCAATTAAGGAAATATTTATGTATAAAAAATTGAGTTAAGCAATTTATATTCTTTTTTTTTTTTTTGGAGAGGTTTTTGCTATGGGATGCATGTGTTCGCCAGACAGACAGAGACAGAGAGATAGAAAGCGAGAAATCACCCCCCAGGGGGGATGGCCATGCCACAGTTCCTTCTTCTCCATTCTTGGGATCTTGGGCGTGCATGCACATGTGCCCAGCGTGAGCTTAAGTCACCAGATCTGGGACTTGAACCGTGGTCGGCTACGTGGGAGTCCAGCGACATAGCCATTATTGCTAACTGCTGGTCCCAGCAATTTATATTCTTCATAGATTATTTTTACAGACAATCTTATGTGACATAGATGGTGGACCTATTTTGAGAATCTGAAAAATAGAATCATTGAGTTAAATTTTAATGTTTTTCAAAAGAAACTTTTGAGAAATATTGAAACTTTTTCAGAAGTATTGAAAATGGTATTCTTGCAACTCTTATCCCTAAAAGAATGTCACATTATCTATTGTACTTTACACTATTTGATAAAATTTTGGTAGGTATTAAAATTATGAGTATGAGAATATTGAAATAGATATAGTGCGAGTTAAATTTCTGAGAGTTAAACCAAAAACTGTTGAATGAACTCTGCAAATAGCAAGAATTTTTGTGATTATGCATTTTTACCTATGAAATGCTTATAGATGGTTAGAAAGTGTTTTCTGAAGGCTTAGATGCATGCTGAAAAATACAATATTCGAAACTTTATGACTGGTTTCCATAGTACAGTGGTTGAGCACTGTGTTATTTAACTAGGTCCCATATGGCCATCCCTGATTCAAATCTCAGCCAAGGCAGCTTGAAAAACATGCTTGGCACATAGGTGTCCGAAATCTTTTTTTTTTTTTTTTAGAGGTTTTTGCTGTAGGGCATGTGAGAGACAGAGAGACAGAAAGTGAGAAATCACCCCCCAGGGGAGATGGCCATGCCTCAATCCCTTCTCTTCCATTCTTCTCTCAGGATCTTGGGCACACATGCATGCACACATGCCCGACATGAGTTTAAGCCACCAGGTCTGGGACTTGAACTGCTGTTAACTACAGGGGAGTCCAGCGATATAGCCATTACACCAACTGCTAGTCCCAGGTGTCTAAGATTTTGATGGGATATAGAATTCTAGGAAAAAAGATTGTGGCATATGCATGCCCCACTGGGGAGTACCTTTTCTTTCTGTCTGTATGTGTGTCTCTGTCTCAAGCACTTGTTCTCTGGCAATTAAAAAGTAAACTCCCCCCCCCCCCAAAGCATATGCACTTTATCCCTGCTGTTCCATCAGTGAAATGAGCACTATATTTCTTTTGACCTTGAGTTAGGCTGAAGGGAACAAGAATCAATATTAAACCATAATGGGGGGAAGGTCAGATGAGGGCATCTATTTCTTTTCTCTCTCCCTGTTCCTATGTTAGGACCTCGAGCTAAAACGAGTAAATGAGGCACTATATTTTGAAGCTCTCCAGAGAGCCTGCAGACTGCAACCACATGTTTCTTTAGGTGACCTTTACTATCAGAAAGCTTGTATGATGCTATTATTAAGCTGTTACTTAATTTAAAAATTAAATAATCACTGCAGTGGCTTAGGCTGTGGAGTGCAGCTCACGATGCCATAGCCATATGGGAGGTTTGGGTTCGTGTCCCAATTTGAGTCCTTGTGATCCTGGCTGGCTGGCTGGACAGAAGGGTCTTGGCATGGTGAGACCCTGACAGGGTGGCACATAGATCTGTCTGTCCTCTCTCTCCTTTCTCCTTCTTTTGAAATAAATAGTAAAATAAATAAAGAAAATTTCTGTACTCTAAGGAGTATTTTGATCTCAAATCTGGACCTAGTAAAAATTTAGAATGAATAGAAGAGTAGCTTAGAGAGTTCATCTATTTTCTGTACAGCAACATCTATTTAGAAAATGAGTAAAGGGCCCAGCAGGTAAAATGGGGCTGTGAGTCCCAGATGAGTTGAGTCCTAGACTTAGAGGCTCGGAAATCATGCTAGGTGCATGTTGTGCATGCCTAAAATCCCAGGTGGAGAATGGAGATGAGATTGTGGCATGGCCATCCCCCTTGGAGGGTGATTTCTCATTTTCCCTCTCACTGTCTCGCATACGCACCCTATGGCAAGAAAAAAAAAAAAGAAGAAAAGAATGAATAGGAAAAACATCCCATTTTACAATAGCAGCAAAAACTTCAATATTAACCTCAGAAGAAATATGTAAGCCTTGTATTGAAAAAAATGATTAAACTCTGCTGAAGAACTTAAAGGAAGATTTCAGTAAAATGGAAAGAAATAAAGAAATATCATATAACTGAATAGGGTAATTAGTTTTGTTTTGTTTTGTTTTTTAAACCAGCTAGCTCTTTGAGAATTAGTTGTATATTCCATTTGATGGCTGGTGGAATCCTAACCTCAAAATATTCTTTATTCATGATAGAGCACATGAAAAAGAGCTAAATCCATGAGCACCCTTTACAAGATCTGGTCACACCATAGTCCCCTTTCTCCACTCCTCCAGCTCATTGGATCTTGGGCACACGTATGCGTGCCTAGCCTATTTCAGACTGGGCTGGGGATTTGAGCTGCAGTCACCATGTGGGATCCAGCTTCTCTTGAGCCAC